TCAGAGTAAAAAGTAAAATTCTGTTACATTAACAGAAATTAAGTAACAGTTTTTACATACGAAACTGTTAATTATGATGTCGATAGACAAGAGTTTTCAAGAGTATTGTCTGTGTTGTTTTTTTCTCAGTGTACAACTACTTAAACTTTTTTAGGAGGAGAAGATATCTGCTACGTATATAATAAAATATATGTTTAAAAAGAAAAACTATATTAAAAAAAAAAAAAAAAAAAAAAAAATTATTTTTTTTTTTAAAATTCAATTCAATGTTAAACATTATGGCTTTTGTTTATTAAGTAGTTTTTGTTTAAATCCGTTCTCCTCTATTACTTCCATGCATATATAATATATATATATATATATATAATGTACTCATGATGATCGTTATAATAATACATAAAAATAATTTGTTGTGTTATTATTATTTTAATTTTTTTTATTATTATTTTTTTTTTCTGTAAATGTATGTAGACATATTAGCTTTTTATTAAAGCGAGTTAATAAAGTGAATATAATAATTATAATAATAATAATAATAATGAATTAAGTTATGGAGCGGTTTGACGGAAGAATAAATGAATTCGATTCTACTTAATGTAAATAGTTGCAATTATTATCTATTTTATATAACATACATTACATATGAGACTATAGTGAATCAATAATATATCGACTTATAAGCAGTAATAATCAAAATGTGTTAAATTCAGCCTTCAAGTATAAATTAAGTATGTATGTATTTTACTCATAAATATAGACAAATACATGTATAACGCAATTAAGATTTTTATTTAATTTTTTTTTTTTTTTTTCTTTTTTAAATTAAGATTATATATACAGTAAATAGCTATGACGCACATTTTAAAAAATAAATAAATGCTTTAAAAGAAGGACAACAACAACAACAACAGCGACAACAACAATAATAAATAATTTAACAAAATTTAATTGTCTGATTATTTGTTGAAAAAAATGTTTAAATAATTATTTTATTAAATTATTATTATTATTATTTTTTTTTATATTACAATAGGTATATATAACAATTAATTTCACTATTGTGGACATCTTTAAAGAAAACACAAAAAACCAAAAAACAAAAAGGCGAGAAGTTTTTTAATGGCGTCGTACTGACTGTTGCTAAAAACTACAAGCAAGTATTCCACCGATTTCCTTTCATTTTATTATATCGAGCATAGGTATGTTAGATGCGTTAAACCATTTGTATCGTTTAGAAATATTATAAACATGAAAGGAAAGGATTCAAAAAAAAAAAAGAGAGAAATGCTTGCTTGTAAATAACTCTGTTCGTCCGAATTTGTCATGCTTGCTTGCAATTCCGTCCGTCCGTCCATTCGTTCATCCGTCCGTTAACAGCTTTCCTAATTGATTTGCGTCGTTTCGAAGTAAACACCTGAGGGTCGAAGAGACGGGTAAATTTGCAAGTACGTCCGTCCGTCCGTCAATAGCATGTTCGAAGTAGCCAGAAAATGAATATTGCGGAATGAATTGACTAAATACAACTAACTGATCGACTTAGAGCCGATTTTTTTGATTATAATATTCAATACGAATCTAATTTGATTAAATCTTATGTGTTCACCCATCTCTCTGGTGGTGTTGCAGAAAGAAGAGCTGAAATTGCGCGAATATGTTCTTGGCTTAGAATCACTGATCGGGTTTAGTGAAAGTAAGTAAACCTCATGCTCACTTATAAATTTAGACAGGACTCTTGAAACGTTTCTCTCCAACGTTTTTACAACAAACAAAAATGTTAGGATTCTCTAAATGTTGTCACTAACAGGTTGTAAGTGGTTTCATCTACAAATCAAATACTTTTTCTATATATTTCTATAAAACGATAGGCAACTAAAATTCGTTTTAAAGCGGTTTTGCTTGCTTAATGGTTTTTCTCTTTTCGCATACCAATATACTTTCAATACGTCTACGCATATATAGGTACATACATTATATTTTTTAATGTACATAGAGCACGTTAACAACATTTGTTAAATTGTTTTTCACGCATTCACCAAATCGTTAATATCAATTTCGAATTTATAGCAGTTCATGCATTCATTCATGTGTGTTTGTGTGATTGTCAAATAAATTGTTAAAATATATTGTATATACAGGGTGTCAGCTATTTTATAGAAATTTCTCGAATCTATATAATTTTGAGAAAAACAAATGTTCCTTAAAATATTTGTTTACAAAAACTTACAAGAGAACTAAGAGTAAACGAGTCAGTAAATTGCATTCGCTGGCGTCTGAATTTCTTATACATATACATTTACAGTTTTAATTTGAAAATATATATCAAGAAAATGGAATTTCGATACTCAATAATATTCAATGGGCGGGATCGATTTTTTTTACAGATGCCATAGAATATGAATCGAAAATTTTCAACTCGTCGTTGACTTTAATTTTGTTTTACTTTTGAAAACAGGTATAGTGTGCTCACACATCCTTCGATCGATTTCGTCGATTTTCATTATTAAGCTGCATGCAAGAACAGCCAAGACAAACATTGGCCATATTTGTCATCTGAATTCTTTTAACCTGAAAAATATTTATCAAATACATTGACACACACGGACGAACAGAAGGACAGACACTTATGATATGTGTCCACTTGGAAGATTCTTTCTGCGGTATTCTTCTAGGTATTCTAGTCAAACCATTTTGACGAACGCTTATGCTTGGATTGTAACGATAAAAATACTTTGCATAATTGTTGCGTAAATTTGCAAAAAATTTCATCTAAATCTTATTACACCGAGTTTCGAAAATTTCAATTTCGACTGCTTATAAAATCTGCTGCTCTGGGATTTTTTCTTAAATGAAATGTTAATTTTTAATACACATTACCGAACGATGAGAGGTATATTAATTATATTAAAACTTTTGCAAACGCCCAGAAGTAAGCTTCAGAGACCCCATAAAGCGTACATATATTCTTGATCAGCATCAAATTCTAAATTGATTCAAGCATGTCCATCTGCCCGTTTGTTCGTCTCTGTAATATCCGTCATAATACGTTCTCTTGGCCGTTGAATGATGAAAATGGTCCAAATCGGTTAAGGGATACGCCCACAGTACTACCTAATGTAAAAACTCTCTCTCTCTCTCTCTCTCTCTCTCTCTCTCTCTCTTTCTCGCTCTCTCTGTTTTTCGAAAGGAATAGAAAATTGGTTTTTTTAATCATTATTCATATAACTGTACCAGAAAGATGTGCCAAAAATTTGAACGTATGCAGTAAAAGTTCTTTACTCGCGGGGTATATGTGCCGCGTATACAGAAACCGGAATAACAATTGGATACATATTGAAATCCTTTTATTATTATGTATGTACTTATTAGATCCGCGAATAAAGAAATTTATAGCCGCGAATATAGGAATTTTTTAATTAAATTTTTTGCTAATCCGCGAATAGTGAAAACGCGAATAAGAAACTTTTACTGTATTGTGCGGGCGATGCTGGAGTACCTGTACAAAAATTAGAAAAGTTGAACCAAGCCTATCATTACTATAGTGTCATAAAATTTAATTTTTTTTCAATTCCTTTATAACGCGTGGAAGCAAGCTTCAAAAGCCCCCTAAAGTTTCAAATTTGGAATGCAAGTAAGCTTGTCCGTTTGTACGTCTGTCCATCTGTTTGTTTGCCCAATTGTGCAGTATCTGTGGTAAATATATATTACTTTTCGCCCACAAACTTGCACACGCCTATATAACAAGAACAATGAACACTTTTGCTTCCTTTCCTTTCTATTTTTTTTTATTTATTTTTTTAAATAAATTTAATATTCAGGTTTTTGTTAAGCCTTTTAACAACTATAAAAGTCTATTTAAATTTAAAAAAACAAAAAAAACCTTCTT